TATTCTTTTTTTTTTTTGGAGACGGAGTTTCACTCTTGTTACCCAGGCTGGAGTGGAGTGGCGCGATCTCTGCTCACCACAACCTCCGCCTCCTGGGTTCAGGCAATTCTCCTGCCTCAACCTCCTGAGTAGCTGGGATTACAGGCACGCACCACCATGCCCAGCTAATTTTTTGCATTTTTAGTAGAGACGGGGTTTCACTATGTTGACCAGGATGGTCTCGACCTCTTGACCTTGTGATTCCCCCCGCCTCGCCATCCCAAAGTGCTGGGATTACAGGCGTGAGCCACCGCGCCCAGCTTTAAATTTCTTTTAATCCATCACAGGTCCCCTCACCCACTTGGACAATTTTTTTTCCATGACATTTACTTGTTAAAGAGACAGTTTATAGAAAGTCCCACATTCAAGATTTGTCAGATTGTTTCCTTATGAGTCATTTAATGCGTTCTTCCACCCCCTGTATCTCCTGTAAGCCGAAGTGAGATTTCAAGGCTTGATTCGATTCAGGATAAACATTTTTGGATAGAATACAACTTTATAGGTAATCCAGGGTACGTTATGTTGCCTTGTATCAGGAAGCATCTTATCTTTTTTTTTTTTTTTTTTTTTTTTTTTTTTTCTTTTAGACTGAGCCTCGCTCTGTTGCTCAGGCTGGAGTGCAGGGCACAATCGTGGCTCACTGCAACCTCTGCCTCCCAGGTTCAAGCAATTCTCCTGCCTCAGCCTCCCAAGTAGCTGAGATTACAGACTCCTGCCACCACGCCAGCCTAATTTTTTTATATATTTTTAGTAGAGACGAGGTTTCCCCATGTTGGCCAGGTTGGTCTGAAACTTCTGACTTCAGGTGATTCGCCAGCCTCAGCCTTCCAAAGTGCTGGGGCCATAGGCATGAGCCACTGCACCATCCAGGAAGCATAATATCATGTTGGCTCACTCTAATCAGGCAAAGTTTGACGTCTAGTATAAGGTGGTGATAGCCATCTTTTTAATTAATTAATTAATTAATTATGTTTGAGATGGAGTTTTCCTATCGTTGCCCAGGCTGTAATCCCAGCTACTCAGGAGGCTGAGGCAGGAGAATTGCTTGAACCCGGGAGGCAGAGGTTATGGTGAGCCGAGATCCTGCCACTGCACTCCAGCCTGGGCAACAAGAGTGAATTACAGGCATGCCCCGCTCTGCCCAGCTCATTTTGTATTTTTAGTAGAGATGGGGCTTCTCCATGTCGGTCAGGCTGGTCTCAAACTGCCGACCTCAGTTGATCTGCCTGCCTCGGCCCCCCGAGTGCTGGGATTACAGGCGTGAGCCACCATGTCCAGCCAGTTCCATAAGGTTTTAATACCATATTTTTGCTGTAACTTTTCTATGTTTAGATTATGTTTAGAACACATGAATACTTACCATGTGTTACAGTCACCTACGGTATTCAGTAGAGTAACATGCTATACCTGTTGTAACCTAGGAGCAATAGGGTCTACCATACAGCCTAGGTATGTAGTAGACCCTACCATCTAGGTTTGTGTAAGTGCACTCTATGATATTTACACAATGATGAAATAACCTAGTGACACATTTCTTAGAAGCATCCCCATCGTTAAGCGACACATGACTTTACTTTTAGCAGGAGTGTATATAACCAAAAAACAAATTAACAGCAGAAATATCGTTTTAAAAATCTACAATATTAAGGTTTGGTCAGAGGTCCAAAGAAGTTCATCCAAGTTTCTGACATTTTACACAACTATACAGGTTATTCAATTTCAGAAGCCCACCTGCAAGGCAGGGTCCCTTTAGATCCTGCTCCTGTCAGTGAAAAATGATGCCAGCCTCCTGGTACTTGAATCACACGTGGTTCTGTACCCTGGCTTTCCAAACCAAACTCATTTAGCAACCTAGGGTAACTTCCATGACCTCTCAAATGAGAATACCATACAACAGGGCATGAGTATGAAGCCCCTAGCAGTGTCCAGTATGTGGTGGTAGCTCAACAGTCCTTCCTTCCATTTTTACGGTCCTAAAAGATTTTCATCCTAAGGGGCAGGAACATAGCCGTCTTCAGATTAATGTTGGGATTGCCAGGATATCCAATGAAACAAAACCAACTCTTTTTATACATGAGAGTGAAGATTTCAGTGTGTGTCCATTTTCCTATATACCTGTCCCCTAAGACCTCTAGTTTTATGGAAATTTAACCTTTTATGGAATATACCACATTTACCAAATTTAACCTTTTATGAAATTAACCAATTTATGGAAATTGTACAAATTATTTATCTTCACATAATTAAAACTGTAACTCATGGATTCTGAAACTTACATTATTTGAAATTCACATCACATGTCTATCAATCAGTTGCTGCTGATTTTGGTGTAAGGTTTCACATTTTCAGCCAGGCGCGGTGGCTCATGCCTGCAATCTCAACACTTTGGGAGGTCGAGGTGGGCGGATCACCTCAGGTTGGGAGTCCGAGACCAGCCTGACCAACATGGAGAAACCCCATCTGTACTAAAAATACAAAAATTAGCCAGGTGTGGTGGTGCCTGCCTGTAATCCCAGCTACTCGGGAGGCGGAGGCAGGAGAATCGCTTGAACCTGGGAGACGGAGGTTGCGGTGAGCACAGATTGCACCATTGTACTCCAGCCTGGGCAAAAAAAGGAAAATTAAAAAAAAAAAAAAAAAGATTTCACATTTTCAGAATATGACCTATCTGGAATATATACATAAGGAAATATTCCATAATTGTTTTAATTCCAGGATAAATTTACCTAGGAAAGATAGGAATATTTTAGAGAACCCCTCCTTTTTTTTCTTTTCATTATGCTGCTATAACGTTGTGAATCAACCAGATGCAACTGTTCCCTATGCCCCACAGTTCAGGAAAAGACAACCCAGAGCCTACAGAGTTTTGGTTCCCACCCAGCCTGGTCACTGCCACTCATCTGGGTCCCCGTGTCCTCACTGTGAAAACATAGCCTTGGACCAAATATTGTGTAAGGAGCTTTCAAGCCCTAAAATTCTATGATGAGTCATCAAGTAATGAACGACAAACTAACCAGGGAGGCAAACTAAAATACATTTCCTGTGGCCAAATTCTCAGAGCCCAGAGGTCAACTTATCAAAGGGGGGAGGAGTCAAACAGTTGAAGAGCAGTGCCACACACACAAAACAAGTGTCAGCTCGGAAATAGTAGTTTTCTGCCCCTATCTAAACGTGACAAAAATCAAAATATAAATAGGGTTTAAAATTTTAATGTGCTGCCGGGCGCAGTGGCTCAAGCCTGTAATCCCAGCACTTTGGGAGGCCGAGGCGGGTGGATCACGAGGTCAAGAGATCGAGACCATCCTGGTCAACATGGTGAAACCCTGTCTCTACTAAAAATACAAAAAAATTAGCTGGGCATGGTGGCGCGGGCCTGTAATCCCAGCTATTCAGGAGGCTGAGGCAGGAGAATTGCCTGAACCCAGGAGGCGGAGGTTGAGGTGAGGTGAGATCGCGCCATTGCACTCCAGCCTGGGTAACAAGAGTGAAACTCCGTCTCAAAACAAAAAACAAACAAACAAAAAAAAACTTTAATGTGTACACTCAGGACACAGACTTCCTGTTCCCAAGAAGGGAAGATATTTTTGCATAATTACAAAGTGTAGCCCTATACCTTGTCCGTTCATACTATACAAAGCATATTATTATACTTGCAAAATACGAAAATGTTTACATGGTATAATTATGTGTATTTATGACACTTTAATTTTAATTTTAAAAAATATATGAAAGGAATTTCATTAGGCTTAGATAAGCTGAGACTACACAAAAGTTTTCCAGGCTATTTAATCAAGTAACTTACAATGTACACATTCCCAAGTATACACCATTGTGGTGACATCGTTTGTTTCAGAATTTCCTGCATTCAGCTTAAAAGGTGCTTCTTCCCAAGAAACTGCACTTTTCTGTCAAATGCACTTGATCGAATAGGAGAATTGGGTTCATAAAATGGATTCATTGAAAACTTTACATACAAATCATAAACGTCAGCAAAGAAGTTCTTTATTCCATCTTCTTGTCTTATGTCATGCAGCATAATAAATCTCATATGCCCTGCAGTGACAAATGCTGACACAAACCACTCGTTGAACTTGTCCACCGTTTTCAAGTACATGTTGTTCGACAGCCACATGTTCTCATCTATGAGGTCGAGAGCAGCATGAGCTATCAACTGGTTCAGATGACGATGGTCATCTTTGGATTCTGACTTCCCAGCTGGCAAAAACTCCATTTCAAAAACTGGATTACCATGGCGGCCAACGATTACAAAGTAGAAGTTCCCAGACATGGTCTTCAATATATGGCTCCTGCAGCAAGAGGCCGACAATGGAAACGCAATCAATTTTAATTTTTTTTTTTTTTGAGATGGAGTCTAGCTCTGTCACCTAGGCTAAAGTGCGGTGGCACAATCTCAGCTCACTGCAGCCTCCATCTCCTGGGTTCCCAACATTTAAACAAGTTACTCTCAAAAGACCAGAATGTCATGGAGGAATTTATTTTTCTGTACTTCTAGGGAGCTGCACGAACCACTCCCTTGTAGTATCTATTCAAAACAAGACCCACTCCTTTAAAATCCCTGGTAGTCTGGGAAACTGGGTGGTTTTCTAATACTGAGCCCCTAGGTCAGTCTCAAAGGTCTCCTCCTCCTCCAGGTCAAAACAAAGGACTGTGACCCTATGGTTTCTGCTGATTTATTTGCCCAGCACTGCACAGCCTCCCACGTCTCTAGCTTCTTTGTTGCCCCTACAAACATGTAGATCATATTAAATTTAAGGCCTTCACTGATTTCCTTAGGGGAAACAGAGGAACAATCAACATGGGAACCAACCTTAAGAAAAAGTGCTTAAAGAGTTGCTGATGTCTAGCTTCAGGCACAGCCCCCCTACTTCCTTATTTTGTAGTACTTAAAGTAAAAGCCCACAACAATAGAAGTCAGAGAGCCCCTTCCTGAGGTGCTCTACAAGAATTTGCATTTCTGAGAGGCTTCCAAGGGGCCTTACTCAAATTCATCTTTCTTTTCCCCAGGCTGGCAGTTAACTGAGGAATTGCAGGATAAAACGTTAAAGTGCTGGTGAAAAATGGGGATTGCTTACAGATGTTGTAGAATTTGGGGCCAGGAAATCTAAACACTGCCCTCCAATCTTCTCACCCTTTTAGAAGCTACCACGGACCACTGTTTAAAGGCCTTCTGAAATGACAGTTTTTGGTTAAGTTCCAGGAAGATAGAGCATTATTTTAATCCAGTAGAAAAAGAAGAGGATATGACCCTACAGCGTGCCAGATAAAAAAGTTCAGGGACTAAATTTGCCCCTTGCTTCAATACTTCATAAGATAATTGGACCTGTCGACACCTCGGATGTACACAGCAATGAGTGTATAAAATTACTGAGTTAAGGCGGTGCTGGTTTCCGAGATGAGAAACTCTGAGGTGCAGACCACTAGGGCATACTGTGCTACCACGGAAGTTTTATCGAGTCCTTAAGAAGCCCTTGCTTGGTCTTTTTGAAGGCTGGGTATAGGTCGATAAATGGAGCGTAGTTGTTTAAACAGTTCTACTAAAGTTCTGACATCAACTCTAGCTTAAATCTATATAGCTGCAGGTAATGTAATCAGGCCACACTCTTCCAAGCTGGCAGCCATGGCAAAAGTCCCTTTCTCTTGGCGCGAAATACAAGGAAATCCAAGAACTACTTTAAGCTCTATATGCCAAAGACCCGGAGTTAAGTTACTAGGGTGGGGATGTGTAAAGGTCTGGTGACTCACTAAAGTCAGCTGGGACTGGGGTGCTGGCACCCGGAGGATACCGAAGAAACAAAAGTTGGGGGGCTGGCGAAGGTCGCGAGCACACTTGATCTCTGATTGGCGGAGCCGCTCAGAGTTTTCTTTATGGCGTCACCGAGTACCTGCCTGTAGAAAGGCCCCGTCTCCGTGACGTCACGCCCTGCTGGCCAATCAGAGGCCTCGGTCTGCGGGCCCCGAGGAGGGTTGTGGGCCCTTTTTTGTGAATGAAGCGCCGCGGAGCAGCCCTCCCGGGGTCCCCGCGAGCCGCGTCCCGCTGTGCCCAGGCGCCTCCGCAGCGGCGTCCGCGTCCGCGTCAGCGGGGGGCGCGCACGGTTACCCCGGGCAGCCCCGGCCGCCAGCGGCAGCCCCGTCGCCTCGGCCGCGCTAGCGGGCTGAGGGCACCTGGGGGCGGGCTGGGGGCGCCGGCCGCGGCAGGAGGCGCTGTAGCGAAGGCTGCGGCGCGGGTTCCGCGGCGGCGGCGGCGGCGGGAGGGAGCGGGGCAGGCGCCGTGGGCCGGGCCCCTCCTCCGGCTCCTGCGCGGCCGCCTCCCGCCGGGCTCCGCCGGCACCCGCCGTCCCCGCAGCGCCGCTCTGCGCCCGCCGCCCCGAGCGCCCGAGCGGGGCTGACGAGAGCCTCGGCGGGCGCGCGGGCGGGCGGGCGCGCGGGGCCATGGTCGTGGCCCCCTGACGGGCCGCGGCCGCCTCCATGAAGCGGAAGAGCGAGCGGCGGTCGACCTGGGCCGCCGCGCCCCCCTGCTCGCGGCGGGGCTCGTCGACCTCGCCGGGCGTGAAGAAGAGCCGCAGTTCCGCGCCGCAGGACCCGCGCCGCCTGGACCCCGAGGACGACGTGTACCTGGACATCACCGGTGAGCCGGCCAGCGGGCGCGGAGGGCCCCGGACGGCCGCACCCGGCGCGGGGCCCTGGCCCACCTCCCGGGCTGCCCCGGGCCTCCGGGGGCCGGCCGAAACGCCTCCGCGCCCACCCTCCTAAACGCTGCGTCCGCCACACCCCCTTTGGGAGCCCGGCTCCCAGGGAGCGCCCCCACCCCAAGTTTCCAGTTGCGTGGGCTGCGAGCTGTAACTTTAGCCGGTGGTACAGCGAGATGAACCGAGGGTCACCTTTCTTGGTTGCGGGCGTCAGCCCGGCGCCTCGAACCTGCAGGTCCTCCCCGCGGGCTGCTTCTGAGAGCCTGTGGATTCCGCCTCCCGGGGTTGCCAGCCCGGTTGGCCCTCGCGCGAGTCACAATCAGTCCCGGAGGATTCACCGAGCGCGCTGAACGCGCCTGGCACGGGAGCTGCCCCTTTTTGCCGTTGGCCGTACCCCCGCTGCTCCGTAGCCTCCAGGACCCCGGGGCGCCGCGTTCCCTGCCCGGCGCGGAAGCCCGAGCCCTTCTCCCGGTTGTCCTGCGCCCTGGCCACCAGCGCGACCCCCGCAGGTCTGCGCCTCCCGGGGTCTTCTCCCCTCCGGGGCCTCGAAAAGGAAGGTGTCACGTTAATGGCATTCGAGCCAGCCGAATGCCCGGGTTGTCACTTGAGAAATCCCTGCCAGCCAGAGCAGGTAGCCTAGCAGCCCTTCGATAGCTGTTCTGTTAGTGCTGATTCGATCGTTCTTGGAGACTCATAAATCCAATTTGGCAGCTGTTAGGTTTGCTGAGATTGACAGTGACGCGTGTGAAGGCATTAAATGTGATGATGTATGTGGCAACGCTGTGTAAACAGCAGAGCTGTCCACGGTTTTGAGGGAATTGGCAGCCTTTCTGTGGTGGGGAATGTGTCAACCTCGGGGCATGGCGTTATTAAAAACTGTTTCCCGCCCTTAGCCTTTGATAAACCAGGTGAGCTGGAGTGGCGAGAACATTGAGTGTTAGGACAAACGCAGATGTTAAGGAGAAATAATATTCTAGGTTCATGGACGGTCTGGAAACTAAGGTCCATTTGGAACGAAGCTGAGAGCAGAGCAGGTTTGTCGGCTTTGGTGGGTGGCCCTTGGGAGCCAGGGTGGGCAGAGGAAGGGGTAGCCCTGAGTACCAGTACCTGGCAGTTAACTGTGGGGCCTGGGTGCGTGGTGGCGCTGCAGGAGGTGAAGCCTGCTGAGGCTGAGAACCAGGTGCTTCCAACGTTGTGCACTTCCGAGGAGAGGGCCTCGCCAAGGACGGGTGGAGCTGGGAGCGGGTGTGTCTACACATTGCTTCTGCCTGTTATTATTTATACCTTTTAAAACGATCTCTGTTGAATGGCATTTAATTTTAGGACAAATAATTCATTTTATATGGTACAGAACTCCAATTCTAAAGGTGCACAGGAGTATATACAGAAAAGTTGGTCTTACAGCTTCCAGGGGTCTTTCTCTAGAGGCAACTACGCTTCCCAGTTCCTGCATGCATACCACATTTGCTATATATTCTCTACCATACACGTGCGAGTAGCACACAACATGTTGTGCACATGGTTCCATTTTCATAGTGTTTTTTATTAGAATGATTGTTCTGAATTGGTGCATACAAGACTTACTTGATTTTAATTACCAGTTAGTCCAGTGTACATACGGTTTTATGAATAAAACCATTTAAAAGTACATAGGGATTTAAATTATATATAGATTTAAATGTTTTTTAACCTATTTAGACAGTCCCTGTTGATGAACGTTTAGTCAGAAGGTTTGTGACAGCAAAGTCATTGGAGTAAATAAATGTTTCTCCTTGATGGAGATCAAATGTGATGTGGCTAGCCTTCGTGAGGCAGTCACCAATTAATTAACTGCAGAAAAATGTAACCAAGCAGAATACTGAGGAGAGGTGCGTTATATGAAATAAAAATGCTATCAGATTTCCAACTCTAATAATGGAAGGGTCCAACTTTAATGTAAGGGAGCTCCAGGGAAGTAAAGTTTATAGTCACCTTTCCTTGTGACTTCTCTAGGTGTCCCTCAGTGATAGTCTTGGCTTCCTGGAAAAATGATACTTAATCAGTCTGTTGCAGTGTGATATACAAGGCCAATTAAAGTATATTCAGATGCAGTGTTCAGATTACTTTTTATTGGGCTTTGGGGGAAGGCTTGAGGCCTGTCCTCAGCAAATGGCAACTAGTCCCTTCCTTCCCAACCTGTTTTTCCCTCCATTATTGTTTTCTTAATTTAAAAAGCAGTGCATGGCTGGGCGTGGTGGCTCACACCTATAATCCCAGCACTTTGGGAGGCCGAGGAGGGTGAAGTCAAGAGATGGAGACCGTCCTGGGCAACATAGCAAAACCCCGTCTCTACTAAAACACAAAAATTAGCTGGGCGTGGTGGTGCGCACCTATCGTCCCAACTACTCGGGAGGCTGAGGCAGGAGAATTGCTTGAAGCCACGAGGCGGAGGTTACAGTGAGCTGAGATCACGTCACTGCCCTCCAGCCTGGTGCCTGGCAAAAGAGAGAGGCTCTGTTTCAAAAAAAAAAAAAAAAAAGCAGTGCATGTACACTTCCAAACATTATTAAATGAGTTTTATAGAGTCTCCCTCCCTTGGTAATGATTTTCATCCTTCAATTTTCTGTGCACATTCAAGTTTCTAGAAATTGTGCCATACCAGCAGGATTAGATCTCTCTCTCTCTCTCTCTCCCTCTCTCGTTTTTTTTTGTTTGTTTGTTTTGTTTTGTTTTGTTTTTTGAGACAGAGTCTTTCTCTGTCACCCAGGCTGGAGTGCAGTGGCGCCATCTCAGCTCACCACAACTTCCACCTCCCGGCTTCAAGCGATTCTCCCGCCTCAGCCTCCCCAGTAGCTGGGAATACAGGCGCATGCCACCATGCCCAGCTAATTTTTGTATTATTAGGAGAGACGGGGTTTCAGTATGTTGGCCAGGCTGGTCTCGAACTCCTGACCTCGTGATTCATCTGCCTTGGCCTCCCAAAGTGCTGAGATTACAGGCCTGAGCCACTGCACCTGCTGATTAATTTTTTGATGGTTGCATTGTATGGCTGCATCATGATTTATTTAGTGGTAATAAATAGATGGTTATTTGGGAGTTTTCCAGTCCTTATTGCAAATGGCTACAGTAGCATCAGTGTATGTGTCTGTGTACATGTGTGACTATATCTATAGAGTACATTTCTAGAAGTGACGATGCCAGGCCAGAGTACATATAGACTTTATCCGTTCCTCAGTGGACTTTTTGGCTATTATGAATAATGCTGCTGTGAACATTCATATACAGGTTGTTGCATGGACACGTTTTCAGTTCCTTTGGATATCAAACCTAGGAGTAGAATGGCAGGGTCATATGGTAACTCCATGTTTAATGTTTGAGGAACTGTCAGACTCTTTTTGCAGAGCGAGGCTACACCACTAGCATTCCCCCCAGCAATGTACCAATTATTCTACATCCTCGCCAACACTTATTATTGGATTGACAGGATTCTTTCACAGTGGAGTAGGTTTGTAAAAATTAATACATGTTGTCACTTCTGTCCAGCCTGCCCTTAAATACATCATTTTAAAACTTTAGTCCTTTGACATTTTTATTGTAACCTATTTGATCTGTAAATTGAATTCCCGTAGATCCCAGGATACTTCATGTGTGTGTATTTAACATAGGATGCTTCATGCCTATTTTTGTTTCTATCGTCGTCTGTTATATGTCACTATCATTTAGTGTCTAGCCGCCCACACCACTATACTGGGCATTTACTCTTACTAGGAGCAGACTACAGGGTTTAATTTGCACCCCAACCGCATCCACCTCTCACTCAGCCATTCATTCAGTTCTTGCATTGTGCACATGGATTTTTTTTTACTTGAGCTGTACTCCTAGTGCAGTTTCAGTGCACCATGAAAATAAAAAGTCATAAAGACAGTGTAGGCTGAGCGCAGTGGCTCACATCTGTAATCTTAGCACTTTGGGAAGCCAAGGCAGGCAGATCACCTGAGGTCAGGAGTTCCAGACCAGCCTGGCTAACATGGTGAAACCCCATCTCTACTAAAAATGCAAAAATTAGCTGGGCATGGCGGCATCCGCCTGTAGCCCCAGCTACTTGGAAGGCTGAGGCAGGAGAATCCCTTGAACCTGGGAGGTGGAGGTTGCAGTGAGCAGAGATCGAACCACTGCATTCCAGCCTGGGTGACAGAGAGAGACTCCATCTCAAACAAACAAACAAACAAAAAAACCAGGCAGTGTAAACTGTAAGCGTTAATGCTAAAAAGATGCTGAGTAAAGATCAGAATGAGCTGTTACCAGTCTAGGAAACTTGAGGAAGTGGGGAGGTTAAGGAGAGTTTTCAAGGAAAAAATACTGCATTTTTCTCTGAACCTTGTTAATGTCAGAGGTCTGAAACTTTGTCTATTTTCCTATCCCATAAATAGGGACTTCCATTCATGGCAGTTTACTTCCTCCTTTACTCAGGAAAAAAAAAAATACTTAAAGACTTTAACATTACTGCATATATCTATGTTTGATAATTTATAAGATGGAATAGTTGGTGCAGAGCTTCTATTTATTTTACTATTTTTATTTTTAAAATTTCTGATTGGGCTGGGAGCAGTGGCCTATAATCCCAGCACTTTGGGATGCCAAGGCAGGCAGATTGCTTGAGCCCAGGAGTTCAAGACCAGTCTGGCCAACATGGCAGAACCCCTACTCCGGAGGCTGAGGTGGGAATCACTTGAGGATCACTTGAGCCTGGGAGGTCAAGGCTGTAGTGACCTGTGTTCATTCCACTGCACTCTAACCTGGGCAACAGAGACACGATAAAACCCTGTCTCAAAAAAAAAAAAAAAAAAAGAAAGAAAAATTCTGATTAGTAAAGAATATTGGTAATAGCTACTGGCTAAAAGGTTCTTGGTGGTTGTATTAAATTTATTTACCTTTTTAAAAATAAGTTTTTCAGTGTCTGCTGTGATCTGACTTTTAAAGACTGTATTATAACAGTAAATAGTTTTATTGGAGAAACACTAATTGAGGTCAGAATTGTCATTTTAAAGCACTGATTAATGGTGATGTATTGGATACTCATCAAGTAAATTAAACAAATACAGCATTTCTCCTCCCTCTTTCCTTTTTAGGATCTTTAAAATTCACAGCAGACATTAGACAGGGAAAATTTATTCATTAATTCAAGAAGTATTTATTGCATGCTTACTATGTAAAATAGTCATGCATATTCATTGCAGTGATGGAAGTATATTTTTCTTGATAGAAAAGGAATGCTGTTATGTAGAGCACTAAGTCAAGGAGAAAAATTGTCTTTTCTTCAAGAGTTTGGTGTTATGGTAGATAATTCAGTTTCAGAACTGAAGCCTATCGTAGTATGTAGTGTGCATTTTTCTTCTTGCCTATGTCTTGGTTCTCTACTTACACTTAAATTTGTCTGTAATGTGAATTTGTATTCTTGATTTCTATGCTTGCTTAATTCTTCAACATCTGCGCTTCTGATGTTCATGTTATCTGCTTTAAATCTAATTCCTTAGGCACTCCAACACCACATGCAGGCAACAATTTGACAGTTTCAAATGTCACTCCTTAAATGGACATACAGAATAGTTGGGCTCAGACATGAAGGCAAAGTGGACTAATTGTGTTGCAGAAACGGTACTGATGCCAGGGAGTTGCCAGTCAGTGCAAGTTGTAATTGCTCTCTCCTTTTGAATGGGAAGAAATGTTGCCCGTTTCTATCAAGGTTAGGAAGAGCTGAACTGAAACCACACTGGATTTTTAGGATGGAAGAAGGGCATTGGTGCACACAAGTGACATTTCTCGAAAGCTCTGAGATGGTCTGTAGGAACACTGAATTGATAAATCAAATGCTTTGCTTTTAGGGGAAAGAATTTCAGAAGATCAAAACCTTCCACTTTGCCCCCTGAAGAAGCCAAGGACCAGAGATAAAATTGGGCCTCATTGATGTAGTTTCCTTTTGGCAAAGTAATGACTACCTGACTTTTACTGTTGCCAGCAGATAAAGCTGCTTCACAGTTGTACATAAATGATCTATTGGACATCTCCTAGTTAGTCCTGTGCTACTTAGGCTAGGAGATGAGTAATTACCTACTGAATTTGGGAAAAATGAGCAAACCAAGTACATAATTCAGGTCTTCTGCAGTTCGTGCTGTTTTCCAAATTGACTGTCATTAACAGCCCCAGTTTTCCAGATACTTTATTCATTCAACAAATGCATAATGAATTTGTGCAAATGAATACCTACTCTTCCAAGCTTTCTTCCCCCTTCAAGTGCTAAAAATAGAGTACTGCCAGAGACAGTCCCTGCTCTCATGGAGTTTATGTTTTCTGTGTTAATTGAGAAAATAACACTGGGAGGGTCTGAGGAACTAGCATATGAGTAATCATATTGCGATTGAAATCATTGGGGAAGAAAAACTTTAATCGAAGAGTTTTTGAAGAGCCAATTCTGTGAGGCCAACTAAGCTAGCTGTTAGTTATGAGGACACTGGGGAAACCTAGTCTCTGTCCCATCCTGGGGTTGAGCACAGATGGATTATTAATAACCTTTTGGAGGCTCGATGCTCTCATCTGCAACAGATTTGTTACGAGAGTGAAGTGAAGGGGATGCATATGAAGTGCCTGGCTTGATGCCCATTGATGGCCAGGGCTACATCAGTGTTCTCTTGTGTCACACGCGTGACAGCAGCCTTGAGTACAAAGGGCAGGCTGAGGCACAGTCATCACGCCTGGAAGGGTTTCAAGCTAAGAAGCAAACATTCCCGTGTACTTGCACAAAAGGTTCAGTGAATCAGCACAGTGGAAATGCAGTGTGTTCCTCTCTCTGCTTCTGAGAGCAGGCTCAGGGCAGAAATGCTCCAGATGAGGCTGGCTCAGTATTTGTCAGAGCAGCGGAGGAGGTTTGGCGCCGTGGCGATCGTCTTTTCTGTCTTGGGAGAAATGTTACGGTTTCTCTTTAGAAAGATTCCCTATAAAAGGAGGAATAAACCCAAGCTGTTAACTTGATTCTTGAGGCTATTGTTAGGTATTTTTATTATACGGAAGACTTATATTGCCTAATATTAAATTGCAGCTAAGCTTATTGTTGGGGAGGTCTTCTTAAAGATGGGAGACCCCCTTACCATGGGAGAGCCTGAGGTAGAAAATGAAACCATATATGAAATTATTTACTGATAGAATATAAATTTTCAGAGTGGTTAATTTAAAAAAATGGTCTCATATATGTTTTAAAATAGTGTTTCACAGACGATTAGCCAAAAGATTTGAAACTGATGGTGCATATTATTGGAAGACAGGGTCTTTTTTTGATTTTTTGTTTGTAAAACAAATTGCCTTTCAAAGGACATTTCTATGCTTAATGTGTAGCAGAGAGAAACAAGTTACTTGGAAAGGTTGGGACTAGGATATAAAGAAGAAATTAGATCTTTAAATCTATTTTTTATTACCCTGTGAGAAATGAATTTAGTAGCCAGTATTTTGTTTTCCTTTCCATCTTAGCTACTGAATATTTTTATAACCTAAGTAAATCCTTCACATTAAAATTGTTATAAGGATCTGTAAATTGACATGAAAACATGGACAGACCATCTGAACATCTCAAAGCCACGCCTCATCTAGATCAGGCGCCTTTATGAATGAGGTAAGTAGGTGCGGGGTTGTTGAGGACAAATGTGGAAGAGATTGTATTAGAGACAAACAGACTGGTTCGCAGGAACTAACCAATCTTCAAATATTGTTTCTTTCCACTATTTCATTTTTAGCTTTCAAAGTGAGTCATTTGATTTCCAGTTTTATAAGAAGAATTGACTTCCATATTAGGCAGGGATTACTTTTGAAAACATTTTCCAAAATTGATTGTAACCTTGTAAACTCAAGGATATTGAAGTGGAATGTGTACATCTCATCTGGACTCTCTAGTTTATATGAAAGTTTTACGCCCTTTTCTCTCTTTTTTTTTTCTATAGCTTTTCATGGATACTGCTCCAACAAAGGTATTCAGATCATTGACTACTTTGCAGTTCTTTTATATGACTTTAAACTGTAGAATTTAATCGTTAGTTGTCATTCTTGGTTCCGTCCTTTCCTGTTTGCTTGTCTTAATCTTAGGTAGCAGATTCAGTTTTCCGTAACTGTAGAGTAGCGTTGGTATGTTTATGACTTAAGTTGAAATTTGTCTTTATATGAAAAGTTTTGTTGATTTCTATGATAGTTAATACTAAAAGTAGTTTTTGCGATATTTTATTGGATTAATATAAATGCCAAGTTTGGGTGGTAGATAGTTTTGGTAATATTCAATTTTCCTTTTTAAATTGAATCTCACTTTTGTAGGCTCTTGTGGAAAGGGTACTCACAATGAGTTGTTATATCTTTAACAGCTACTCTTGATTTTTTTTCTGAGGTCAGTTAGTTCTTTCTAGACATTTATTTGATTAATAGACAGGTTTATATCATATTTACTGAGTTTGGCAAGAGGGAGGTGTCATGAAATGCTAACTTGGGGAACAGTGAAGTGCTTTTATATTTCTTTTTTAATTTAAAAAGTATTCTTATTCACTTTGACTTTTAGATGCCTCAGATATGGGCAGTAAGCAGAAAACAAATCTGAGTGGGCATATATGCGTGTGTGTGTGTGTTTGTGTGTGTGTGTGTCTGTCTGTGTGTGTGTGTCTGTCTACATATCTTTCCAATTTAAAACAATTCTTACTTTAATCTCTTGGTCTTTTATACAGCTTTTTTAATCTCAGCATTATTTATATTCTAGAGGAGCAATTCTTAGCGAATGCTTTATTCACCAGTTGGTTCAAAAATTTAGTCTGATTCATTGTCTTTAAGTCTGAAAAGCTGGATAAATTAATTCTAGTTGCATAAGATAACATATCAACTTCATTTCTCAGGTAGTTCAGTTTTATACCATTAAAATTTGGTTGGCAGTGTACTTTTTACAAAATAAAAACATCTTGTTCCTGATGTCTGTGATATTTGTTGTTCCTTCAAGTTCTCATTTGAAAGTAAAATTACTTTCTTGGCACTGCTGTGCAATTTATGACATTGATCTTTTTATATCCAATCCATAATGCAATATAATCATTACAAATTCTGAATTCTGCAAAGCCTTCTCTTGATTTTAGGACCATCTCAGCTGAATCATTCTTTGTATTTTGCGTATTTATTATTTGTATTTATATGACTGGTGCTATGGAACTAATTAATGTATTTATTCTACAAGTATTTATTAAGCAACTGCTTGAATTGGGCCAACTGTTATTTAAAAAAGCAGGGGCAAGTGATGTTATAAATCTTGCTCCTTTTCCCTGAAGACTGACAAAGAATACACTCTTAAGTCATCATCTCAATGAAGACAGGTAATGAAAGAATTAGTCATTATGTAGTTTGCTCTCTTCTTCATTTAAACAGCATCAGTTTCAAAGAATTGTGTGTTGGAAATGTCACTCGATAATTCCCATACAAAATGAATAATTTGGACTGAGCGGAGTGGCTCACACCCGTGATCCCAGCACTTTGGGGAGACCATGGCAGGCAGATCACTTGAGGTCAGGAGTTCAGTACCAGCCTGGCCAACATGGTAAAACCCATCTCTACTAAAAATACAAAATTAGCTAGACATGGCAGGTGACTGTAAGCTCAGCTCCTCGGGAGGCCGAGGCAGTAGAATTGCTTGAACTGGAGGTTGCAGTGAGCAGAGATTGCGCCGCTGCACTCCAGCTTGGGTGACAGAGTGAGACTCCGTCTCAAAAAAAGATAAATAACTTTTCCAATGTCTGGTGAAAATAATTTGTCTTATGGTGTGTCTTTTCATGTGTGTTTTAACCTTTAAAAGAAACAACAGGGAAAGTGTCATTTTGGTATGTAACTAGTTATGCATTATATAAGTATATGTTAATAATTCACCGAAAACCCTATCTCTACTAAAACATATCTAAAGGAAAAGGTTTACATTTCAGTTAATTCTATATCTCTAATTTGAATCTCCAGCTATCCCAGAGGATAAGATGTTTTTAAAATAAGATGTCTTGTTTATTCTTGGTAAGAAGTAATTACAGAGCACCTTTAAGCTGGGTATTGCTTCTTAAATTGAAGGCACTGAAGATAAAAATTACTAAATATTTCGGGAACTAGATTTAATTGTGTGTCTTGAACTGAAAAACATTCTAATTTTCCATTCTTTTGTGGGTGCTGGGGAAGAACTGCTTTGACATGAATGCATTAACAATTCAAATGTCGGTCTTAAATTTTGGAGAGTTGTTCTCAGTTTGCTCTTGGAATTTATTATTGTAATACTGTCATTAGATAGCTTGTTGGAAGCACCTAATACGTGAAAGTGAAGCATCTTAACGTTTATCTCTTTTCTTTCTGACAATGAACTGTCAAAAAAGCTTTGAGTTTAGCTAGCAAGCACAACTGAGGCTGGGATTTTAACTCCACTATTAATATATTCTAATTTTAAACTACTGTAACTGAAAGGGCATACAGTACTAATTCAATCCAGATACATTTGAATGTGTATGATAGTCTCATCCTTGCAAGAGATGCTGCAAGAGACACGGCAGAGATTTCAGACCGGACTACTGACGTTGGAAGTAACACTAACTAGCACACAGACCGGGTCAGACAAGGTTAAACCCAGTGCTGCCAGCTGTTTTGCGTGGGGCACCTTATCCGTAAAAGTCAGAGAGAGTCAAACAAGATGGGTGCTTCTGAATGAATGGGATCCTTGGAAAGGAGGTTTGAACTAGGTTTTAAAGATTTTTATATTTTCCCCTCCAGAACCAGCAGGAACTGTTCTGGATCACAGAAACACATGAGACTCCTTTCTTCTTGACAGCACCAGTGACCCTGTGGTGGCAGTTGTGGGGTGGGTGATTGCTGGGAGTGGGAATGGACTCTACCCCAGCATGAGGCAAAGATTCTTTTCCAACTTCCCCAGACCTGTCCCACCGTGCTTTTGTATTCTGTCACTAAAAAGCATTAAGACATCCCATGTAATCTGAAGTAAATAACAGCTTTGTTCCAAAATGGAAAAAAAAAATTATTTAGTGATCTCTGTCTTACTGAGGAAGGCAGGAAAACGAAGAAATACCTCAAACCATCCTTTATCCCTGGGGGCCTCTTCAGGTAGCACTGAAAAGATTTTTAGAGCTTAAATTTTTGGATTCAGAAGACAACCATTTCCTGCCACAGTGCTAACAGAATTTTTTCTTAATGTGAAAGTTTTGGGAATTTCCAAAATAAAGATTTGTGGGTTATTCTGAAAGCTGACCAGTAAATTCCCAATAAACTCAGAATCCCCCCCTGCCCCGCTTTTTATTAATTAAAGCTCTGGATTAGGAACTCTTATTTAAAATTTAAAAAAAAATTTTTTTGAGACATAGTCTTGCTCTCTTGCTCAAGCTGGAGTGTAGTGATGCAGTCATAGCAGCCTCCATTTCCTGGGCTCGTGATCCTCCCACATCAGCCTCCTGAGTAGCTGAGACTGCAGGTGTGTGCCATCATGCCCAGCTAATTAAAAAAAAAATTTAGTAGGTCAGGCGCAGTGGCTCACGCCTGTAATCCCAGCACTTTGGGAAGCCGAGGCAGGCGGCTCACCTGAGGTTGGGAGTTCAAGACCCGTCTGACCAACATAAAGAAATCCCGTCTCTACTAAAAATACAAAATTAGCCAGGTGTGGTGGCGAACAGCTGTAATCCCAGCTACGCAGGAGGCTGAGGCAGGAGAATCACTTCAAACTGGGAGGCAGAGGTTGCGGTGAGCTAAGATCATGCCGTTGCATTCCAGCCTGGGCAACAAGAGTGAAACTCTGTCTTGGAAAAAAAAATTTTTTTTTTTTGTAGAGATGAGGTCTCACTATGTTGCTCTCAGGCTGGTTTCATAGTCTTGGGCTTAAGCCGTTGTCCTCCCCAGACTTCCCAAAATGTTGTGATTATAAGCATGAGCACTGCACCTGGCTGGAACTCTTAGTTTAAAATGATTTCAGACAAATAATCTTTTTTTTTTTTTTTTTTTGAGATGGATTCTTACTCTGTTGCCCAGGCTGGAGTGCAGTGGTAAGATCTTGGTTCAACTGCAGCCTCTGCCTCCTGGGTTCAAGTGATTCTCCTGCCTCAGCCTCCTGAGTAGCTGGTATTACAGGCACACACCACCCCACTGGCTTATTTTTGTATTTTTAGTGGAAATGGGATTTTGCCATGGAGTCCAGGCTGGTCTTGAACTCCTGACCTCAGGTGATCTGCCCACCTCGGCCTCCCAAAGTGCTGGCATTACAGGCCTGAGCCATTGTGCCTGGGCAACAACTATTATTTTAATATAGAGATTTATGAATAGAAATACTAAGTTTTGTTGTTTAATGCTATACAACTATTTTTCAGTAAAAGCCGATTTTTTTGTATACCTATTACACATCCCATTGAACATAATGCCATGCAGTGCTGCTTTGTTGTAACTATTTGTCTTTGAAATTTTATTTTTTTTGAGGCAAAATTTTGCTCTTGTTGTGCAGGCTGAAGTACAGTGGCTCAATCTTCCAGCCCACTGCAGCCTCCATCTCCTGGGTTCAAACAATTCTCCTGCCTCAGCCTCCCAAAGTGCTGAGATTACAGGTGGAGCTGAGGCACACCTTACCACCCCAGCCCTCGAAATATTTTACTAAAACTAAGTAGGCATATATACATCTGCAGTCAGTGTCTTGCTTTGCATTCCCCAGAACAGATGCTGAGTCAAGGATCCAGTGCAAGCACTTCCTTTGGGAATGATCCCAGGAAGCACTCACAGGGGAGTGGGGAAGTGAGATGGAAAGGAAAGGCAGGCCACAAATGGCTCATTATCAGGCAGGTTACTACTGTGGGAATGGAGTTAGAGCCTGCAGGGGAAAGCTGGGAGCCAGTATATGTTACACACTGCAGAGTTATCCTCACTGAGGGTTGAGGGCTTGGGATACTTATATGCCAGTCACTTACCCCTGCTTGTGGCTTTCGGG